TGATGATGATGATGATGATGATGATGATGATGATGATGATGATGATGATGATGATGGGTTCTCACCATGTATTTCTGCCTTACCTAAACTTGCTATGCAGACCGAGCTGGCCTTGAGCGCACAGTGGACAGCCTGCCTCTGCCTCTCACCTGGCTTTCTGCATGGGCTCAGGGGATGTGAACTCAGATTCTCCTGCTTGTGTGGCACACGCTTTACTGATTGAGCCACCTTCCTAGCTGAGGGCTCTCGTATTTTAATGAGCCACCGTATCAGCATAAGGAAGGACGACGAAGGATTTTTACTGAATGAATAAAAGGATGAATGGATGAATGACCAAAACGCTGATAGTAGAAACTGGGGCACTATCAGACCAGACACCCCTGTTCAAATCACTCCCAGAACCGACTACCTTCCCTGCCCTACAAGAAGCCTGGCCCTGACCCTTAGTCCTATCCCAGTGGGAACCTGCCCCTCACATTTCCTAGGACACAATCTAGCACTTCCTACCCTACTGGAAGAAATGGAAAAAGGAAATTCCTTCACCAGAGAGTCCTAGACTGGGCATCTAAGATGTCTTCAGTCACAGGACATGGTGGCAAAGACAACCCCTCTAGATGCAGCAGGGCAAGCAAGGGGCTTGACCCAGAATGGTACCATTGAAGCCAGGGCTCCAGTGCGGAAGGGAGAGCAAGAGGAACAGTTTCTCCAAGGCACCAAAGGGCGTCATCAAGGACATCTGAGCCCTCAGTGTGTCCCAACTTTGGCCAGTAGGCTTAAGGTTGTTGTATAATTCAAATGCTGATTTCTTTACCGCTCCTCCCCCCCTTCTGGTTGGGATCCTTGTTCCAAGAATCTCTTGTCTCAATGTTGTGTAAACGTCTCCCCAATTTTCCCCTGGTATGCCAATAAAGCAGCTTACAGCCAATCACTGGGCAGGAGGGAGAACAGAGCTGGACTTCCTGCCAGCCAGGGGAGGAGGAGTGAGAGGGAGCAGTAGGGATTCAGGCCCAAGAGACATCAAGAGAGAGGAGCTGAAGCAGCAAAGCTACAAAGTGCAAGTATCTCCAGGTTGTACTCTGGGAAGAAGACAGATTAGCTTAAAGGGTTAAGAATAGATTAAGAACTGCTCAGTTATTGTGTTATGAAGCTTATTAATGAACAAATATAAAAGTCTCATTTATTTGTGTGATAGCCGGGCCAGGTTAAGAGAGAAACTGAGAAACACACACAGTTTAACAAAAATAACTTTAACCTCAGACCTTACCTATAAAGCCGATAGTTGTAGGGGCTGGACATGAAGTGGGGGCCTGTGCTCTCACTGAGGCCGTAGCCTGCATACAGGCGAATGTTGAGGCCCAGAAAGAAGCGTTGTGTCTCTGCAGTCATGGGAGCTGCTCCGTAGAAGTTTTTCTGACACTTGGCAAAGCCCAGAGCCTGACGGACCCTGGCTAACACTAGGTAATCAGCCAGTCTGCTTGTGAAGGGCTTCAGGTCACTGTGAGAGGGTCAGGGAGAAGAAGTGAGTACACCCAGCATGGCCCAGAAGCTGCCCATTTTGATGAATTGTTGCTAATGCTGAAACCTTTGTAAACATTTTGGCTATTGGCTTCGTACCCAACACGAATTTGTGTGCAAACGTAGGTGTGACTGCTCCTGATTGCATGCAAGCACGTCGTCAATCACGATGTCAGACAAGCTGAACATCTCTCCAGTCCCCTTTTTATTTGTTTATTTTTCCTTTTGAGACAGTCTCATGAATTTACTTTGGCCTAGAACTCGCTCTATGGCAGAAGCAGACCTTAGCTCCTGACCCTCCAGCCTCAGCCTCCTGGGTGCTGGGATTACAGACCCAGGCGGGGCCTGGCTGCATAGTCACCTTTACGTATGCTAATGAAGCTGTAGGCGGACAGATGTGCCCACATCTCCCACAGAGCTGGCAGCACTGTAGTGGAACACCCCCTCCATCTCACCTCCCTCTTTCAGGCCAAAGGGGCTCAGCCTGGAGCTTTGTGCACACTGGGTAAGCACTAAGCTAGATCCTCAGCTTGGAAAGTATTGTTATGTTGGAACGAGGCTGGATCTCTACTGTGGATATCTCCACAGCACTGTGTGGGGACTTGAAAAGCAATCGTGAGCCAGATGTGCCGGATGTGATGGTTTACATCTATAGTCCCTGTACTTGGAAGGCCAAGGAAGGATCCTGAGCTTTAGGCTAGCCTGGGCTACCTATTAAGCCTTCATCTCGAAAACCAAAAAGCAGTAATAACAAGCAATCAGAAGGGGTTTGAGAGAGATCCGAGTCAAATGGGCTGTTAGGAAGCAGGGTCACTGAAGCCCCTTGTGGTGGTTTGAATAGGAATGGCCCCACTGACTTCTGTGCTTAAATCTTTGGTCCACAGGGAGGGACACTATTAGGAGGTGTGGCCTTTTTGGAGTAGGTGTGGCCTTGTTGGAGGAAGTGTATCACTGTGGAGGTGGGCTTTGCGGTCTCATATGCTCAAGCTAGGCCTTGTGTGGCACACAGTCTCCTTCTGCTGCCTGTAGATCCAGATGCAGAACTCTCAGTTCCTTCTCCAGTTCTATGTCTTCCTGTATTCTGCCATGCTTCCTGCCATGACGATAATGCCCCAAACCTCTGAAACTGTGAGCCAGCCCCAATTAAAAGTTTTCTTTATAAGAGTTGCTGTGGCCATGGTCTTCACAACAACAGAGATCCTAACTAAGACACCTCTTCTAACACCAACTACTGAGGGCAAGTAGCTGGCAAGAGCTATCTATCCCTAGGAAGGTAAATTCTTCAGAAGAAGCAAGTCATTCCTTCCAGCCAAAGCCCCCCAAATACCAACTGTCCCCATTAGGTCTGCAATGGGTATCAGAGTACAAGCCCCATTTTAGACAGGCTACTGTACAAGGTGCCCCCAAACTGAAGTCCTCTAGACCCAGGATAGCCTATCAGATTCTTGCTTGAATGAGCCAACCCTGTCCTCCCCAGGCCTCCTGCCCCTGACTTACTCGCTAGGGCAGGTTAGATTCTGTTCCAGGGTGACTGACATGGCCCACAGCAGCATCTTGCGCCGGATGAAGCCAGACTGGGCAGCCACCTCCTGGATCCGTTCCATGATCTTCTCCCACACGCGCGGCACGCCCATGTGGGATGTGGGCTCCACCTCCCGCAGTGTGTTCACCAGGCTCCCCTGCTCAGGGCCGGAGAGAAGCAGAGGTGACGCCAGGCCTGCAGACACAGCCTCGCCGTGTAAATGCTAATGCTATACGCAGGCCTGCCTGTGGATATGTACCCCGTCTGTGCACAGGCCGGTGGCTGCGCTTCAGCAGCCGCATCCCCGCATCCGCTAGCGGAACGGTGGTGTCCTTTGCCACCCACTGTACCCAGATGCTTGAGAAGCACCTTGGCTCCTCAGATCTTTCTGCATCTGCCCAACTCAAACAGGAGAACCTCATTTTGCCAGGCACAGTGGTGCATGTTTGTAATCACGGCACTTAGGAGGCTGTAGCAGGAGGGATGGTGAATTTGAAGCCCAGGCTGGACATTTAGCAAGTTCAAAGCCAGCCTGAGCTACCTAATGAGAGCTTATCTCAAGATTGGCATGTAAAACAAAACAACAACAAAACTAAACTAAACAGAAACAAGGGCCAGCAAGATGGTTCAGGGGATAAAGGGACCTGTAGCTGAGCCTGACAAGAGTTCATTCTCAGAACCCTCATGGTGAAAGGACACAATTGACCCCTGAAAGTTGTCCTCTAACCTCTACACTGTATACTATAGACACAGAAGGAGCTGTTGTGCTCCCTAAACATAAGAAAATAAATCAATAGATGTAGGATGTGGTGGTGCATGCCTCTAATCCCAGCACTTGGGAGACAGAGGCAGGTGGATATCTCTGAGTTCGAGGCCAGACTGGTCTTCAAAGCAAGTTCTAGGACAGACAGGTCTCCTCTCTCCTTTTATACACACACTCACACACCCCTGTCTCAAAAACAAACAAATAAATGCAATTTTAAAATTAACTAAAAACAAAGGGGCAAGGGTGATGGCCAGGCAGGGCTGTCTAACAGACTCCCAAAATTCAGCCGATTGCTGCTGCCCTTGGTAACACCCCAGAGACAGAAAGTAAATCCCTCTTGCTGAGGACACCACACCCATCAGAAACTCGGAGCTAAGTTGGCCTGGATGTCCCTCCCACACACACTAGCTTTCATGCTATCAAAAGGCTCCACACAAACTTTCAAAGGAAGGAAGCAACCAACAATACCACAAGCCCAGCTGTCACGCCAAGGAACAGTGGCAGCAATCAGCAAGGCATCATAACCCTAAAGGTTCAGTAGTGGCTTGCATTCTTTGCCAGTAACTAACCACTTTCTAATTGGGTTTAAGACCACTCTACAGGGGATAAACCATGCTTGGTACTGGAAACCTAGCTAACTACTCAGTGTGAGTGAAGTCATGTCTATTAGAGGAGAAGCCATGACCTCTAATTTACTAAAGCAGCGTAATCCCTAACAACAATCTACAAACATTTGTCTTTACGACCACAGGTAAGTGTAGTCTTCGCCCCTCATCCAGGAAACTTCTCTTTGTAATAGAGTCCATTACAGAAAACCCAACCAATCAAGTGCTGAGCTGTGGAATCCATTCCCAGTGGATACATCTACAAAATACCGTCAATACCCATGGCTCAGGGAACATCGCAGAAGAGCAGGTGGAAAGATGGTCAGAGCTAGAGGATCAGGGAGCTTTTGGTGAGGTTATGTCTCCTAGATGTGTCAGAAGCTACCTCCATAAAGTCTCACCAACATGACTGCCCACGTGTGAACTGACAAGGAGGAGACCAACAGACATGCCAAAGTATATGGGAAAAAGCCCATGAGGCCTCAGCCGTACACAAAGCACTAGGGCAACTGAGGAAAGCCGGGGTTAGGAGAAGTGCTTCCCAGGAAGGAGAACACCGACTGTTTGCCAGGGCCCAATGGTCAGTGCTGAAAACACACATACAAGCAGCATTATACAGACTGAGCAGGCTACATTTTGGAATGTGTGTGTATATTCCTAAATTATATGCATGCAATAACAATTAGTAAAAACAACAACAAAAAAGAGGCCATGAATTTGAAGGCGAGCAGGGAGGGGTATAAGGAAGGGCTTGGAGGGAAGAAAAGGACAGGAGAAATGTTATGATTACACTGCAATCTCAAAAATTCAGAAATAAGCTATGAATAGCAGCCCATGCCTTTAATCCCAGCACTTGGGAGGAAGAGAAAGGTGGATCTCTGTGAGTTCCAGAACAGTCAGAGATACGTAGTGAGACACTTTAAAAAAAATAAAAAAGAAAAAATGTTAAACCCTTCATTTAAAAATATTAATTGTAAGGTCTGGAGAGACGGCTCTGTGGTTTAGGGTCCTTGTTGCTTTTGCATAGGAGCCAGGTTCGGTTCTCGGCACCCACATGGTGGCCCACATGTTCCAGCCCTGACTCTAGTTCCAGCAGACCCGATGACCTCTTCTGACTTCTGACCTCTGAGGGCACCAGGCACACAAGTGTGCACACAAATACACGCAGGCAAAACATTCACGCACATAAAGTAAGGTGACTGTTTTAAAAATATATCAGTTGTGGGTTATCTGTATCTATAGGGTTGAATTTAACATCATTAAAACCGATTTTGCTTGATTTATCACAGATTGGGGGAGCCTGTCTCAAAAAACTAAGCTAGACGAGGTTGGAGAGATGACTCAGCAGCTGAGGACTGGAGTTCAGTTTCCGGCACCAACACCAGACAGCTCACAATGAGAGCCCAGCTCTCAGGATCTTGGGCTCTCTTCCAGTCTCCATTTATATGACACACATACATAAGTTAAACAATTTTTTCTTTTTTTAGTTGATTTATTATTTATTACAATTTATTCACTTTGTATCCAAGCTGTAGCCCCATCCCTCATCTCTTCCTAGTCCCACCTTCCCTCCTTCTTCTCTCCCTATGCCCTTCTCCAAGTCCAATGATAGGGAAGGTCCTCCTCCCCTTCCCTCTGACCCTAGCTCATCAGGTCTCATCAGGACTGGCTGCATTGTCTTCCTCTGTGGCTTGGTAAGGCTGCTCCCACACTCAGGGGGAGGTGATCAGAGAGCCAGCCACTGAGTCCATCTGAGAGACAGCCCCTGTTCCCATTACTAGGGCTCATAATTCTTTATTTTAAATTAGATTCTTTAACTTAAATTCATCTTTAAATGTTTTAAAAAATAAAGATTTAAAAGAAGTTGTTTCAACCCCCTGCCTGTGTTGACCTCTAGCCTTTACATGCATGCACACAGGTGAACACATTCAAGACACACCACCACCAGCAGCCAAACAAGTACAACCAAACAAGTAGACTCTTTCCAGCAGCAGTGTTTGTCTTAGGAATGAGCATGGGGCACTGTCCAGGCTACCAAGACACCAGGTCGGGGAAGCCAGCGAGGGGGTTTCTGGAAACGTTTCCTCATGGTTAAAGTAAAAATGCAAAGAATAGGTGTATTTTATAAGATCGGGGGGGGGGGGGGAAGCTGTGGCTACCCCCCCCCCCCAACCACCTTGAGATCACACTGAGGAAGCTGCAGCTTGACGGTGTTTGGGAGTGAAGGAGACAGTCTATCTGACTTAGCAGGATGTCATCAGCTTCCCTAACTGTTTAGTCACTTGAGTCAGGCTGGGCAAGCAGCTGCTGAGTGCTATGTGCGCTGGGAGCCAGCAGGCTCTGGATGTACCCAGGGTCCATAGATGCGACACACACCTGGGTGTGCCCCCGCTTACACATTGGACACACACATGGAGCAGGAAGGCAGGAAGACAGACTGACCTTTAGGGCGTCTGGATCTGCAAAGCAGACCTGGGCCCCCCACTGGATGCCCGTCCACAGGTCGTAGATCTGGGCAGCAATGTGGCTGAGAGGCAGGTAGCTGACCACTACCTCCTGCTGGACTTCTGCTGGCTGGATGTCCCCGGCCTGACTGCCATACCGTGCTGTCCATGTGATCTGAGGGGAAGGAAAATGGCCCCAGTAGGTCTACACCCGGTCCTCATAGACCTAAAAGTGAGATTATCTTGGGAACTTGGGCTGCCTCTTTTAGAGGTTCTGAGGGTAGGTAGGTGCTCTCTCAGGCATTTCCACAGGCTCTGGAGACATAGAGACAGGTCTCCCATCTGCTCCCTTCCCTTTTCCCTCTACAGAGCTCTGTCTGGACCACAGGTGGGTGGGCATCCCGGCTCATCTAGCTCACCCACGCTGTGCCCCAAGAGGCTGTTGGGGCAGGACCGTTACCCAGAGTCACCCCATCCCACCATCCTTCCGGGCATCTGTCCTACATTGTCCTGACTCAGCATCACGCCCTTCGGGTTTCCAGTGGTGCCTGATGTGTAGACAAGCACGCAGCACTGGTTGGGCTGTTGGGCATCAATGATGGCGTCTAAGGCCTCCTCGGGTACTTCTTGCCCCAGTTCCGTGAGTTCTTCCATCTGTGGCAAGGTAGAGCAGAGAAGTCAGTCTGGGTCATCTGGGTAGGCCTAGGCAGGCCCCACTCATCAGCCGGGGCCGCTCTACATACCGTGTACACGTTGGCCATCTTCTGTGGAGGGGGTTCTTGGTAGATCACCACTGCCTTTAGATGGGGCAAGTCTTTCCAGATCTGCATTGACAGGAAAACAGGCTGGGTTTCAGCAAGAAAAGGGTTACATCTTGGAAAGAGCCTCATCTGCTTGTGTTATCCTCGGACAAAATTCTGCTACTTCCAGGCTTACCCATTATGGAAACTTGGGTTCAGTGCAGTGGGGACCCAGGGCCTGACTAAACAGGCTACACAACACAATATTAGACCAGTGCAGGTGACAGACAGACAGACATAGAGAGGGAGCTCCGAGCTTTAATACAGAGCGGCTCCTAGGCGATGTTACTAAGAGAGAAAGATAGTGTGCCTATAGCATGACCTCTTCCCCCAAGAAGGAGCTACAGTGTGAGCACTGTGAATGATGTACACACACATGAGCTAGAGGCAAACGCTTATGTCTGCCGCAAGGGTCTCTGGAAGGTTAGAACTAATTGCACTGACTCTCTACAGGCAGAGAGAGGGTGCAAGCAAAAGAAGAAGGGGAAATTCTTCCGGTATAACGTACAATTTTGACATTGGGGTCATGTACATGTTGTAATGATTTAACGAATTCATTTGTATGAGAAAGAGAAAAGATGATTCTTCAGTACGTGAGCGCAACCTGAAAGAGATGGACACAGCAGCCGAGTATGTCCATGTGCCTGGAATCTCAGTATAGGGGAGGCTGAGGCAGGGGGATCATGAAGTTAGCCTGAGTTATGTAGTTTCAAACACACAAACAAAAAACCCAAATACAAATGAAGCCTTTGTGTCTAGCTGGTGAAACACACATACACATACACACACGTACCATTTCGTCAAAGTTTTGTTTTGTTTTATTACTTGTTTGTGTGCTTTTGTTTGTTTTGTTTTTCTTTTAAAGACAAGCTCTCACAATGTAGCCTGGCTGGCTTTGAATTTACTATGTAGATCAGGCAGGCCTCAAACACACAGATCTGCCCGTCTCTGCTTCCCAAGTGCTGGGACTAAAGCTGTATGATGTTGGCCTCATCAAGGGATTTTATACCTGCATTGTTACTCATCATTCTAGGGGGAGAGCTAAAAGGAATTTCAAACTTTGTCTAGTAGTCTTTTTATTTTTTATTTTATTTTTTAAAACCTGTGTGTGTTCGTGTGTATATACAGTTTGCCATGCCCAGCTTTTTATAGAGGTCATTCAGGTCCCATGGCTATACAGTAGGCATGTTACCTATTAGCCCTCTCCCACTTTATGCACATGTCACGGTACACATGTGTGAAGATCAGACAACCTTTTGGAGTTAGTTCCACATTTATATGAGTTCTAGGGATCAGACTCAGGTCATTAAACTCATGCAGCAAGTGCTTCATCTGCTGATCCATCTACCAAGTCCCCCCACCCCCGTGTGTGTGTGTGTATATGTGTGTGTGTGTGTGTGTGTGCGCTTTTTGAGACGGGTTATTATGTAATCCAGGCTGGCTCCAAACTTGTAGCCTTGGCTGGCCTTGAACTTCTAAAACTTCTCCCTCCACTTCGTAAGTGCTGGGATTACATGTGTGTTACCATGCCTGCTATCTTTGTTGGTCTTATTCTGGCAATAAATCCATACTTTTATTTGGAAATTATTTGATATGTACTATAGTATTAGAACAATGTTGTTAGCTGCTACAGTTTTCAGGATTAGATAAGAGAAATTCAAGTATAAAATCAAACTTAAATCCCCATTATGTAATGTTTGAGTCAGAAATATCACTGTTACTCATGATTTAAATGCACATACACACACTCCTGAGAGAAGAGAAATGAGTGATAAGAACTTCTATGAACTCAGTGTTCTTTCTGAAGATGGGAGGGGAGAGGGAAAAAGAGTGGGGGGAGATAAAGGTAAGGGAGAAAAGAAGGGGTGAAGAGGGTGAGAAGAAGGGAGGGGGATGAGAAGGCTGGAGGGAGGTGAGAAGGTGGGAGGGAGAGGAGGAAAGAGGGAGAAGAAGGTGAGGGGGAAAGAGAAAGAGGGAAAGAGTAAGAGATGAGTCAGAGAGGCAAGGTGGTTCAGATGACTAGAACAGGAGAGCTAGGACGGAAGAGTCCCAGACATTCTCCTAGCGTCAGTGACTCACTGGCTGAACTCATCAGGCTGCCAGGCGTCTGGTTGGTGAAGGGCACAGAGCAATGGCTGAACCAGAGGAAGCAGGTGAAGGACACAGAGCAATGGCTGAACCAGAGGAAGCAGGTCTCACACAGGTGTCTTGGAGGCCATGAAGCAGAGACCCAGAAAGCCATCTCTTAGGGGTGTTGAATTTGTTTCCAATAAAAGCTGTCTAAACCTGACCTCAGAAAAACTTAGAGCAGAAAAAAAATTAGTTGTGGTATAATATAAGGAAATTTAATATATGTGTGCTTGAAATTCCTAATTTTTTAAAATAAAGTTTGAGAGCCAGATGATGGTGGTACACACCTTTAATCCCAGTACTTAGGAGGCAGAGGCAGGGGAATGTCTGTGAGTTCAAGGCCAGCCTGGTCTACAAAGCTAGTTCTAGGACAGCCAAAGCTATACAAAGAAACCCTGTCTCCAAAAACCAAAAATGAATGAATGAATGAATGAATGAATAGAAAAATTCTCAAGTTAGATTAAAACTATAAATGCATGAAGTCAAGAATCTTAGTGAATTCAAAAAAAGATAAACATAGACACACACACACACACACAAATAAATAAGTAGATTATAAAAGAAACCCTCTACGATACAACCTGAGTGAAATCGGTGATATGGAAGATCTCTTGAGTCGGGCATGATAATGCAGCACCTGTGTTTGACTAGGATGTCAAACACAGCACAAGCCGAATGTCAGAGAGGGGCGGAGAACATGTGGCTGCATGATGACAATTTTCTTCAGGTGAGATAAAAAGGTTAGACCCAAATACATGATGGGTGCAAAAGACTTGTTAAACACACAGAGTTATATTTACTTACTTATGTCTGTCTTTACGTGTGTGTTTGTGCACGTGTGTGAAGGAAGGTCAGAGGGTGATCTGAGGGAATGGGTTCTCTCCTTTTACCATGTGGAATCTGGAAGGAAATTCAGGACACCAGCTTTGGCAGCAAGTATCTTTACCTACGGAACCATCCTGCCAGATGGACTTTGTTGTTGTGTGGTGATTGCCTGCTTGCTTGTTTTGATTTTGTCTTTGAGACAGCATCTCAGGTATCCCAGGCTGGCCTCTAACATTCTAGGTATTGAGAAAATGATTTTGAATTTCTATTCTTCCTGCCTCCACCTTCTGAGTGCAAAGACTATGGTCTTGTGCCTACATGCTAGGTTTATGTGGTGCTGGGGAAGGAATCAAGGTTTCGTGTAGGCAGTCTAATGATTGAGTGACACTCCCAGCCGTCAATACCAAAGATCATTTAAGAAAGACATCACAGCTGATCAAGATGTGTGGTGAAGTATTTGGGGGAATGAAACAGCATGAGGTCAGAATATTTGCCTTTTAACGTCGTAAAAAGGCAAAGAAGCATATGAGAACACACTGATAGTTATGAAACCTGATGATGCAGAGAAGTGTCTCTGTTTTGGTTTGTTTGAGGATTTTTATAATACAAATTTTGTTTTAAACCTAAGGCAGACATTTAATGGAGACCCCAGATCTGGACTTCACCTTCTTCAGCTATGAGCTAGGGATGGTTTGTTTCCTTGGCAGGATCTAGTAGGTGACTTTTAAAGCTGCCCAGCCCTCCCCCACCCAGGATCCAGATATAAACATGGGAGGGTTTACGAGAGGGCACAGCAGCGGCTACAGGGCCTGTTGAGTTGGTTTTCCTTCTTGTAAGTGAGGGCAGGGAGAAACCACTGACCTGGGCCATTCCATGGGTGGGAAGGAGGTTTGTTGTAAATATGAAACTGCCTCATGGCTATCAGGTGGTAGAGACAGTAGCCAGAGGCATTTGGGGGAGTGCAAAGCTGCTGTGGCTACCTCAGGGTGAGGGGCAGGTGTGCATGTTGGTTTTAAAGAGAACAGTGTAGCAGTGGAAGGGAGGGAGTAGAATCTGAAATGGCCTGGAAGTTTAGGGTCGAGGGGAAGAGGAAGTGTGCAGGCCAGAAGACCCAGGTGGCTTTTACATGCTTTACAGGTAAATGCTAACGTTAATAGGAAGGAAGGAGCCTGGAGGTCAGCTTGGAGCTTTGAAATGTGTTACATGTTTGTGCTAATAGGGAGCTAGATGTCCTATTTGCCAAAAGTAGGGAGATAAAGGGAGTAGCTTTTCCTGGCAGGTAGACAACCATTTCACAGGCTTCCGTGGACGCTGAGTGTAAGCTTCTGTCTGTCAGCTGAATCCAGGTGCCATTCAGGACACCATCAGTGGCACCGCCAGTTGGGGCTTGGGACCTACCAGTTCTCCCCCTGCTCTCTGTGCATGTGTGTGCCGTGCCACAGGCTGACAGATGTCTCTCCTCAGTCACTTTCAACCTTATTTTCTGAGGTCTTTCAGTGAGCTTAGCAATGAGCTTCAGGGATCTATCTCCATGTTGCCTTCCTTCTCTTGCAGCTGTGGTCGCAGGCACTTGCTACAGAGCCTGGCTTTTCATGTGCGTTACTGATCTGAACTCATGCATACCCGGAAGGCACTTTACTCACTGAGCAATCTTCCTGCCAAGCTAGATTGATTCTTTAAATTTTTGTTTCTTCCTTGAGATTATAATGACATCATTTACCCCTTCCCTTTCCTCTCACCAAACCCTCTGGACTCCCTCCTAGTTCTCTTTCAAATTCATGAACTTTTTTTTTTCTTAATAGTTGTTATACACCCCCACACACATCTAAATACATAAATACAGCCTGTTCAGTCAGTATAAAGTTACTTGTATATTATGTTTTCAGGGCCAATCAATTTTGTATGCTTGTCCCTGGGGAGGGAAGATTTAAGAGCTAGAGGATCAAGGTGTTTGTTGTGAGATTGTGTTTCCTAGGAATGTCAGAAGCTCCACCCATGACGTCTTATCAACATGACTGCCTAAACATGAGCTGAACAAGGGCAACCCCAACAGATATGCTAACATGGATGGTGAGGGGATCGTGAGGCCTCAACCCTGTGCTAAAGCTAAATTGGTTCCTAAATCATCCAGGCTTCAGGCCTAAGTGGTCCTGGGGGAGCCTGGCTCTGTTCTGTGTTAGGCTATGATGAATGAGGCTCAGAAAATGGCCTAATGACTTAAGTACTTCTGAGGCCACTGGGCTATCTGATGACTTCTGGGTAACACTAAGTCCCAGGGTGCTTTAGAAAGGCCACAAATAGACACACACCCTTGATGACTACTCCAGCAGAGCATGGGAAAGCACCTTCTGTAGCCTCTCCGAAAACCCAGGTTTTGTGGTTCTAATAGGTTGACCAGTTGGCCATCAGAACAAGTGTTTAGAGAAGGGGAAAAGGATGCCTGAAGAGAACTCAGCCTTCCTTGTCTCAGAGTACTAGCTGGGGCCACATCCTCTAAACCTACCTGTCCACTCCTGGTCCTACACACTGATCCAGGTGGGACAAATGGAGACAATCAAGTGACATACTGAAAGAACCTCATAAAAGGGCCCCATAAAGAGGCAGAACAGTCCTTCACTAGTCAAGGGAGCCACTGGAGAAACCCTTCATAGTAAAATACAAGGGCCGGGGAATGGGATTTTCAAAATCACTCTAAATTAGCATAAAAGTCTGTGGTCACATGTCTTAGACTAGAGCAAACTCCCATGGAGCCTGAAGAGTCTGAGTTCAGAGCAGCCAAGAACAAGACGCAAGGGTGGGTCCCTTATCCAGCTTCACATACAAGTCCAGGAGGGCTTGTGGAGTCACACCTTGCCAGACCAACACTGTTGTTTGAGGCATTGTCTCTTAAGTTGATGATTTAGGTTCCTGCTCAAGCCTTGTTGGGGGCCCCCTCAGCTCCCCTCCCACAGCTTTTCTGGCTCCCAGAGGCTTAGCTTTCTTTACTGCACTACTGCTACCTAAGCAGACCTGGACTCTGGAAGCTTCCCAGAGGGACCCTCACTTGGCTGTGAGCTGGTAATTGTCAGTCAGGGCTGCTCACAGCCTCACCCCGGGGAGCTATGTTAAGTCATGAGGAGACCTTCTCCAGGAACTCATGCTAGGGGTCTTGCCCACAGCCTGGGCCTGAACTAGGGGGGATTTCTGCAGCAAAGTGAGAACTATAAACCCCAGCTTGCTTCTTCTTGGCTTAAGAGACTTAAGGCCCAGCAGAGATGAGAGAAGACACCAGCTATGGTCTCTCTGGAGACCCAGGTTCCATGGTTCTAGAAGGTTGACCACTTGACCCTCAGGAGCAGATAAGTGGCTACATAAGAGCAGATAAGTCTCAAGGATCATTTCCAGAGAGCGAACGAAGCCACAGAGGGGCCCAATGTCCACAGCCCTCCCCTTACATATGACCCTGTCCAGAGGGAAAGCCATGGTAGACAATGGTCTGGCCAGCAGTGTAAGTGAGAAAGGTGCTATTACCCACCTGACTCCCTCCTTCCCTCTCCTTCCCCCTCTGTGTGTGTGTGTGTGTGTGTGTGTGTGTGTGTGTGTGTCTATGAGTGTGTTGCATGTTCACGTGAGCTGTAAGAGATAAGAATGCTGGACGGGAGGTGAAAGTAGCCTTCCTGCACTAGGGTAAATTTACAGCCTCTGACCACATGGCCGCTGCTCCTTCCCACCGAACCTTCAAGATCTTTTCCAGCTGCTTCTGACTGTCAACCACAATGACGTTGGCACGGCAGTCGTGGGCAATGTACTGGCAGGCCTCAGGGGAGCTGGTGGTGTAGATGCCAGTGACGATGCCCCTGTTGGAAGTATAGGAAGATGCATATCAGGTTCAGAGGAATCGTCCCCTCCCCACCACCTCCATCCCCAGGGACCTCCAGAGGCCTTAAGGCAGGGTGCTTAGTCAGCTCAATGGGCAGGGATGAGAAAAAGCAGCCCAGAAGGTCCTAGGGGAGATATGGGGTGTTGGGGGAGTGGTTGAGGGCTCTCTAAAGAGATAATCACCCTTTCTGTACTTTCTGCCCATCACCAACCACAGCAGACCTCCCCCCTGCCCAGCCACTCACCCTGCAAACACCGTGCCCACGGCAGAGAAGAACCATTCTGGGGAGTTGAAGCCGAGGATCGCCACGCTGTGGGCGCGCTCCAGGCCCAGCTTCAGGCCGAAGGCAGAAAGGCAGGTCAGTTACACGAAACAGCCCTTTCCCGCCCCTGTTGATCTCCAACAGGCTGCAGAGACCCCTCCAGGCCCACTTCGGGGTCCACCCAGCCAGAGAACTTCCTGGGGAATCCATTTCCCTTCCTATGTTTTCTCTGGGGAGCCCAGCGGACTAGGTTTCCCAGGGCTCTTTGAAGGTGACGCATGGTAAAGGCTCTATAAGCACAAAACTCTTAGCACAGGGCCCAGAATATAGTGTTAGCCCAACTTGTGGTGTCAGGCCTTACAATGGTGGCTTCTAAGGACCTTGCCCAGTGCGGAGTTGGGGAGGAGGCCTATGAGAGCTCAGGCTAGAAGCAGATCTGGGGAAGAAGGAAAGTGCAGTGAGGAGCTCCTACCTTCAGGAAGCCTTTGGCTACCTTGCGGGCAATCAGGTAGTACTGGTAGTAAGAGATGCGCTCCCACTTGTTCTTGTACTTGAAGCCCAGAGCACTGAGGTTCCCGTACTTATCCAGGGCCTCGTAGAACATCCGGTGCACGGTATAGGGAAGCTGCGTGCAGAAAGGTTCCAGGCGTAGGCGCACTCTCCCGTCCGCCCGAGTGGTCCATAGCGCTTCCTCTGCAAGGGGGAAGATGAGCAGGCTGTCCAAGCCTAGCTGATCCAGTTCTGACCTGGGCAGAGGCCCCACACCTGCAGCAGCAGCAGCTGCTGACACCTCCAGGACAGGACCTTGAGAGCCGGCAGGCAAGCCAGATAGGGGAGAGGGGCGGGAGGCTGCTTGAGGGAGGCAGTCTGGCTTGTCTTTGGAAGATGAGCAAAGCTTAAGGATACAGCAGGAAAGGGAAGCAGAAACAGCGGGAGGGAATCTCCAGAGGAGGACTTCTGGGCCCTTTTCTGCCTTTTTCCGGTTGGAGTGTGCCTGCCAAGGTTGGGGTAGGCTCGAGCAAAACTCCCACCTGCTCACAGGAGTAAAACTGTCCCTGGGCTCAGAGCTTCTCTGGCTCCTGCCAGCAGGTGGGGACAGATCCAGCTGGACAGAAAGTCAAGGCGTTAGAGAGGAATTTTGGAGGGACTGAAAATCACCAGGCCTAGATCCCTGGCCAGTGGAGCCTGCAGGGCAGAGGACTGCCAGCTGACATCTAGACATTCAACTCTGCCAGGATCTTCTCATTCCATCCTCGTGGTGCGGGCGTCTGCTTCCTCAGAGGGAAGGCGAGGCATTTGCCTTTGGGTATGGGCATTGGAAGAAATGATGTGTATGAAGGAGACTTGGATACTCAGTAAATGCACGCTCTCCTCCACTTTCCTATCTGTAAAGGAAGTTTGCTTGGGCAATCTGCACGACTTTTTTTTTTTTTTTTTTTTGGCTTGTTTGTTTGTTTTCAGGGTCTTGAAGGCTAATCTCAAGTCTACAATCTTCCTACCTCTGCCTTCCAAGAACTGGGCTTATAAGTGTGTGCTGCCGTATCTGACTGCCCACCCCCTTCCCCGGGAAAGGAGGATTATTGTAAAAAAAAGGGAGCACAATATGGGTAGAGAGTGAGCTGTCCAGGACCCCTGAGGCTGCCTACTGGCCAGACACACCCCATCACTTGCTCATCTACTCCTGGGAAGCCAACTTCTTCTTTCTGCTTGCCCCAAGGCTGGCACCAACAGGGTATCTTGCCTGTGATCCTGTATGAATTAGACAAAGAGGCCAGAAGCCCTTGACCTTCTTAGATACAATCGTAGGCTGTAAAAAGAGTTTGAGGTTAGCAGAAGAGGTAAAACTTCTGGGGCTGAGACAGGAGAGCACATCTCAGCCCCATCAAAAGGAACTATGAGGCCAGAGAAATACATGCTGGGGCCAGAAAGGGCACCAGAGAGGTTTTACTGGGAACGTGCATTGGCAGGAGCCAGAACAAGTTGGCTCACCTTTCCCAACTGAGTACCTGTTTTGGCTATTTGGAGCCCATTACTCTTAGGTGGAGGTGTGAGCCCTGTCCTGCAGCCCCAGGCCGGCAGCCCCAGTCTCTGCCTCTGCCTTTTGCAGGCTCCATCCATGGACCAGAAAGCTAAAGAAGGATGGACTGCAGAGAATCAGGGTAACTTGGCTTCCAAACCTTGACCTTGACACTCCCTGATGTGATCCTACTAAGTTACCTTCCTCTTGGCTATACTGTGATTATGGAAGGTAGGAGGGGTTAGTGAGCAGAGGAGCAGTGTTCAGGCAGCGCAGGGATGAGGGGCACTGAAGGCTGTGGCACAGCGCTACCGGGAGACAGCTTAACAGTTTCTTAGAGTCACCACAGCACCCGGCACTGTCGCTCCTAGGTATCGATCCAAGACAAACAAAGACATGTGTCTCTACAAACACTCATATGTGGATGCTTATAGCAATATTGTTTATCAGCTCAAGAGGGAGAAGAACTCAGATGTCCACAGAGAGATGGCTAAAGGCCATACAATGAGATTCATTTCCATCCTAAGAAGGAGCAAAGTACTGATTCTGACTAGAACTCGGAGACAGCTCAAACCACGTTCAGTGAAAGAAGCCAGATGTAAAAGGCCATGTGTCTTGTGATTCTAATTATAAGAAGTATCTAGGAAAAGATGAGTTGGTTGCCTGAGGCAGGAATGGGAAGAACCATAAGACGAACTTAAGGTATCTTTTGGAGTTGATGAAAATATTCTAAAAGTGAATTATGGAGTTGATTATGCAACTCTGTAAATTTCTAAAAATTGTTCGATTAGGCTTGGCAAGATGGTTCAGCAGATAAAGGCACTTGCCTAATGAGTTGAGTTCAGTTCCTAGAACCTTCACAGTGGAAGCGAAGAACTGAGTCCTGCACATTGCCCTCCGCCTGCATAACATGAAACCTTCACGACCCAACCTTCATACACGTAATAAATAAGATCTTTGGATTCATACTCACAAAAGGTGAATTAAACAGTCTATAAACTATACCATGGTGAAGCTGCTTCTAAAACAATGAGTGGAGGGCTGGGATGTGGCGAGCAGGCGGGGTGCTTCTCGAGCATGCACAAAGCTGTGGAAGTCAACCTCCAGCACCGGATAAACTAAGTGAGGTAGCACATGCCTACAAAAGCAGCACTTATGAAGTGCAGATAGCAGGGTCAGAAGTTCAAGGTCATGCTGAGAGACATAGGAAGTCTGAAGGTAGCTTGGGCTACATGAGACCCTGTCTCAAGAAGAAGAAGAAAAAAAATTAAGACTGTTGATCTTCCAAATAGAGCAAGGACCCAGAAGCCAGTGTGTTTGGTGTGTGTGGAACTAGGTACCCAGCTATTGTCTTACTAGAAGTTCTCTTCCCTCCACAGGAGGCAGAATCTTCTGACTGCTTGGCTCAGAAAAAAGTGGTCTCCTTCGATGATCTCCTCCTGAAGCCCAGGCCCCACAGCACCTGTTCCCTAGCTGCCCAGAGGAGCAGAGGTGAGCTGTAGTCTTGTGATCCACTGCTAAAGCCTCCCTCCAGCCAAGAATTTTCTTTCTTGTTTTTTCTACATGGGCTGGAGATGGGAGCCAGGGCCTCGTGCGTGCTAGGGCAAGCGCTCCGCTGCTATTCTGCGTCTGCAGCCAAACCAAGGGGCTTAACGCTGAGCACTTATAATCTCTTGTTTTGATAATAAAAATGGAATACTTCCCGAAGAAAAATGAAATGGCTCAGAAGCCCGTGCTGTAAAAATGGGTGGCCTCCTACTCAAACATAGCAAAAAGGAGTTAGTTTTGTTTTTTTTTTTTTTTTGGCTGTTGTTGTAGTTGGGTTGCTTTTGTTTTTGTGCGCTGCTGGGGACACACCTTATACAATAGCCTACACTAAGCCACAAACACAGCTCATCAGCGCAGTTAGTGTTCATTCAAAAAGAAGCAGGGTTGGGGAGAGAAAGATCATGCCGTTTGAGTAATAACAAAGGAGGGAAAACCCAACATGCCCATGAGACTTTGTGGCTCATGTGTCAGCATCATAATAAATAATACATAGTAATAAATAATAAATGAATGAGCTCCCGGAGACTTGCCATGGAACCCACAGCCCAGACTTAATTTCCTTTTGCTTTCTTTGAGACTCAGAGCTTTTATTTGTACCTTCAGTTCCTTTGCCTTTGATGGAGGCCCTGAACAATGTGGTATGTCTCTAGTCTGAGAGGAGCTAAAACATTTGAGAGAGTACAGTTAGTAACAACACACCTTTGTAAAAATGGCTGAGTAGACTCTGTGTTCTGAGTGCAGAAAACTTCGTCTGTGATGTAGTATGTATGTTAACAGTTTCAGTTTAGTCATTCCACACTATATGCATGTTTTAAGACAGTCCACCATAAAGACATCATTTTGAATTTGTCAGTTAAAAAACTTTAAGGGGGACATCTATAATGCAAGGACAATAATTATGCCCCTAAGCCTCCATGCTAGGGAGGCAACAGGGATCAGGGACTACTGAAGAAATGGAAGAGGGTGTCCTGCACCAAAGAGGGCTCTGCTCCTTAGTGGTGGGATCTGAGGCCCAGTAGGAATGGTGTGGTGGTTTGAATGAGAATGGTCCCTTCAGGCTCGAATGTTTGAATCCGTGGTCCCTAGCTGGTGAAACTGTGTGGGAAGGACTAGGGGGTGTGGCCTTGTTGGACGAGGCATACCGCTGGAGGGTGTGTTTGAAGGTTTCTAGAAGGCCTCACCTCCCAGTTAGCTCCCTCTCTTCTTCGTGTCTGTGGGTTGAGAGGTGAGCTCTCAGCTGCTGCTTCAGCACCGTGCCTGCCTGCCTCCTGCCATGCTCCCTGTCACGATAGTCATGGACATTAACCCTATGGAACCGTGAGCTCAAAATGGAATACTCTTCTATAAGTTACTTCAGTCGTGTCTTATCTCAGCAATAAAAAAGTAACTAAGACAAACAGAGACCAAGAGTTCCCAGACATCTAAATATATGTGTATATTTAGATTTGTTGTATATATAATATATTACCTGTATTTTTTGAACATTTAAAAAACTTTTACTTATTTCTTTTTATTTAAAAAAATTATGTGGGTCAGATCAAATATAGTCATTTACCAAATCATCTATCCCAGGCTCTTTAGGGGGACAGATTTCTAGAGGTAGAATTACTAGATCAGAAAAAAAGTGTCTTTAAAATTTTGTTTTGGTGCTAGGGAATTTGATGCTTTGGATTAAACTCAAGCACATTCTAAGAATGTGCTCTTGACCCTGGGCTCCAGCCCTAGCCATGTTTACATTTTTAAAAAATCATTTATTTAATTTTTAAATTTTATGTGAATTGATGTGAGGTTGTCAGATCCTCTGGAACTAGGGTTACAGACAGCTATAAGCAGCCATGTGGGTGCTAGGAATTGAACCCTGTTCCTTTGGAAGAGCAGCCAGTGCTCTTAACCCACTGAACCATCTCTCCAGCCCCCATGTTTAAATTTTTAATGCACACTTTTGAACAGAGTTCTTCATCTAATATTTTCTGTCTTGTTCCTGTTTTAGCTCCCAGAGCCTATGCCTTTGTTTCTGTATGCTCGGCTTACCCCCTTCTTGAAGGGAAGACAGAGGAAGTTGGTTGGTCTGCAGTTCAGCTCCCTCTTAGTCCAGCTGTTTCATGAAACAGGCCAGAGCCGTGGCCTT